CACGTTTTCTCACACACCATACATAGAAATAGTTCTGCAACTATACACTGTAATAACTGCCCTCTTTTATGCTGTTCTAGATGGCATTTTGATTGTAGTGATGTAAGTAACTAACACATAGTCTTCATCACATCTGAAAAGTCTCTGGCTACATGTGTTCATAGTCACTGACTCCAGGAGGCAGGGCATTATTCTGCCTTTCCTACCTTCTTGGTAGATGCACGTGAAATATTTATTGATGCTTTGTTCTTCCATCATATTGGATGTTGGCTCTTTAAAACCCATTTGGCATGTTCCTCTATCAGGATTTGGGTGCTTCCAAAGCAAATGCAGATACCTCTGTTGAGAACTTATGACATGACTATTTATTCCTCCTCCCACTCATCTCAGAGTCCCTTGTAGTCTGTGTCTCATTTGTTCTTTGTTATGTAAATGATTTTAACAATTAGTTTAATGATGTACTTATTTGATATGTATATCTATATTCACAATGTGTTGGTACTTGGGCATATCAATGAATTATTTTACATTTTTTACATTCTGCCTGAGGTATACAAAAGGAAATTCATATTCCTTTAAAATTATCCAAAATAACAGATTGTTTTTAATTCTGGCAGGTATTGTTTGGAGACAGAAGGTATTTGGGCACTTTTCAAAGATGCCCACTGTCATATCTCAGCAGCCTGCACACACTGGTTGAGGGATGCCCAGTGTCATATCCTAGGGACCGCCATTGTCATATCTCAGGATATGACTGCTGGCTGTGGATTGATGACAGGAGTTCTCTGCTAGTGGCTTAGAGTTCACTGAGTGTCTGCAGATTCTGCTCTCAGATGAGCAGGTATAGAGCCAGCGTGGACCAGCCTGCTGCCATATGGAATATGGTCCTCATGCTAAAACAGAGACCAGCTTTTGATTTCACAGTCAGCTTTTCTAAGAACATGCCTTTCAAAGAAGGCCTTTGTATGGAGTTGTTGGGGACTGGTTCAAGAATAACAAGAGCCCAGACTGCAGAAATAGCACAGTGTTTTGTCACCCTAGCCACAGCTCAGGTCCTCTACCTCCCACTAGTAGTCTGCTCATGTAAAGGTGAATGAGAAACCTAATCCCAGTTACTTTACAAAGAAGCCACTTTTTAAAACCCTCTACTCTGGTGATGTTTTGCCATGCTAGTCTCTTTCAATAGCAGCATTTAGTAATATTTGATTTTCTTTGGCTTTTCACTGGCTGTTTAAGTGACGTCCCATGATAGGGCTTAACACTTGGTGTTTGTAGGCTGTTTCTCCCTCCTCTGAGACTGCCAATGTCCTTTCCTAGAACATGTGCCATTCCAATACAAGCTTTCTAAATTAGTTCTTCTGGGTGGAAAAAGAGATCATAGGACACTGGGTAGTGTTAATGGAATAATATATCACATGTCAGGTGCTGTTGTGTGCCTTACTTTTGTTATTAAGTTCACAGAACAACCTGGTGAATTATGGCCATTATTGTGTGTTCCTAAATGATATCAAATGTGTTCTGTAAAGTTAGCCCTCAGAAAACATGGTTATGTTTTAGTCTATATGAAGACTATCTTATTGTGGAGGCTACTTCATTTTTAAAGCAGAGTGGGTAAAGCAATTTGTGCCAGTGTTATATAAATGCATGTGTGTGTATTCAGGCATTTTTATTTCATAAATGGGGAAGTTGAAATGTGGAATGTTAGTTTCCCCAACGTTATAGAGCCAAAGGCACAGATCCTTTCAAATACCATTTTATTCACATATCCTTGTTACCCCTGGTGAAATTATTTTTTTTTTGCTTTGAAAAGGCTTTAATCTGTGGACTCTCTGATCTTATCTATCTTTCTTGTGAAGAGAAGCAGGCATCAGAAAATGACCAACAAGCTAGGACAGATGGTCAGTGGTTTAAAGTGCTGGCTGCTTTTCTAGAGGACTTAAGTTCTGTTCCTAGCACCTATGTTAGATAGCTCAGTCACCTCTAGTTTCAGGGAATCCACCACCCTCTTTAAACAGGTTCTAGGGATTGAACTGGGGTCCTTGTATTTGCAAGGCAAGAGCTTTATTGACTGAGTCATTGTTATAGCCCTAGCTTCATCATAGTTAGTCAATTTTTTTGTGTACTTTAGGTTATATGAAAATACTACCATATGTTTTTAAAATTCATCCAGCTGTTGTCAACTGGGAACCCTTGTAATTAGCTCTTGGGTCCTTTTGACATATACCCAATTTCTTTGGGAGGAGGTATACTATCCTATCTTCCAGGGTCATCCTGTATTTTCCTTCCATATTCTTGGTGTCAGTCATCTCTTTGGAGATCCCTGATTTCTTTTACCAAAGAAAAACATGAGTAACCGGGATCTGTGTGTGTTCATTGCCACTGATGTGTCATAGTTTTTTTGATCACCCCAGGGGACAGAGCTGAAGTATATCAGGTGACCTATTTCATACCTGTTTTCATTGTTATTTCTGAACTTCTCTGCCTGTCTATTGAAAAGCTACTTTTCTTTTGAGCAGTCTATATTTTACTGAGTAGGTAACAGTAAGAATATGATGTGCTGTCTTCTACTGTCAGTAGTAAAGTAAATGGAGAGCCTGGAGTAATGTGGCTCCCTGCTCGGCTGTGGTTCTCCACTTTCCTAATGCTGCGACCCTTTAAAATAGTTCCTCATGTTCTGCTGACCCCCAGCCATAAAATTGTTTTGTTGCTACGTCATAACTGTGCTTTTGCTACTGTTGTAAATCATAATGTAAATATTTTTAGAAAGAGAGGTTTGCCAAAGGGGTCATGACCCACAAGTTGAGAATCACTGCTCTAATCAGATCATATCATTTAGACATGAAGAGAAACTATGACATTATGGAACTGCATACTGTGTCAGTCAGAAGTGGAATTAGGTTTTCAAAATGGGGTGTTTTTATTTTCCCATAATTCTCACATCCTTGTAATTACCCATTGTTCTTGGCTTTATATCAAAACAAATATTGACTTCTTGGGATGCTTGAAGTGTATTTTGAATGTAATTTTGCTGGTGTGAATAATGAAAGTTGTGCTTGTGTTTCTAATGAAGAATTTTTTTCTCTAGCATATATCATAGACCAGAGACTTGAAAATGCAGGCCTGAGGGGCAGATGCTAGCAAGTACATCTTTACAAGTGTGTCTGTTGTCCTGGCTCATTCTTTAGACCCATCTTTTAAAAGGCTTTTTTCCCTGAGTGTACAGAGCTCTTCAGGGTAGGCACATCATATATACCCCTGACTGTTAGGAAATGGGGTGGGAGGCAATGCAGGAATCTGCTTGTTATCATTCAAGAAGCTGGCAATAGAGTAAGAAACAGAGGCAAGCTGCAGCCTCTGTAGCCCTCCTTGGACAGGCTAACCACATGACTCCTTCCTTTCTTCCTCCTTTCCTTCCTTCCTTGATAATTTTTTAAATTTAAATTTGAAACAAGCTTGTTTTACATGTCAATCCCAGTTCTTGCACCCTCCTGTCTTCCCCTGACCCCCTAACCCCACCTCCCATCCCATCCCCTTTCTGCTCCCCAGGGAGAGTGAGGCCTTCCTTGGTGGACTCCTTTCTTTAAATGACTCTTGGCACCTGGTGCAGCAGGGAACCCTTGAGATTCCATCCTGAGCTGTACAACAGCCCTAGGGTTCCTTCAAACCTTTCTGCCCCTGGTACATTGAGGGGTGAATATGCTCTTACTTGGCAAATCACATCTTGTTACCATGTGCCAGTAAAATCTCTGTCCTTTCCATTCTTATCTTATCCAATCCAAAGACTTAGCACTTTTTGTGTGTATAATATGAATAATGGAAGTTTCAGGTCCTGATAACTTCACCTTTAATTTCAATATGAAAACTGTTATCTGTTTACCCAAAACCTCGAAGATGTGTGTAGTTCCTTGACTTAGCAACTCCAGTGATGCAGAACTCAGTCACATGTAAAGAACCCTGAAATTATCTTCTAAGTGTCATTTAAGGAGTTGGTAGAAGAACTACAAGCATTTTAAAAGAAATATTTGAGGTGGTAGGCTAGAGAGATGATTCAGTGCTTAGAGCACTGCCACTCTTCCTGAGGACCTAGGTTTGATTTTCATCACTCACATGGAAGCTCACAGCCATCTATTGCTACATTCCCCAAGGGTCAGATGGCCTCTTTTGGTCTCCGTGGGCACAGCATGCACATAGTGCACACACATGTATCAAGACACCATACAAAGGAAAATAAGTGGACAAAAATTTAAAATATATATTAAGAAGTTGAGATGAATTATCTTCAAATTCACCAAAAGAAATCTTGAACCCATTCTCAGTTTGAGCCATTATTCTGTTTGTCAGAGTTAGCAGGAAATGGCCTTTGGTTGCTATATATATTCTGACCAATGTTTGCCAACATAGAACAAAGCAAAAAAGGATATCCTGTAAGACAATGATTCCTGTAAAGGAGTATTAGCACTTATTTGAATATGTAAATGATGATAAGGAACATTAGCATTCATTTGAATATATAGAGTCTATTAAGGGAGCATCAGAATTCCTTTGAATAGATAATCTGCCAGATTTGTTTTTCAGATTGTATTACTTTACATTTTTGTTTAAGATTTCAAGTTTTCAAAGTGCTAACATTATCTTACAGAGCTGGGGATCAAACTTGGGGACTGGTGTGCTAGGTAAGCATTCTGCCACAGAGCTATATCCCCTGCCTGTTGAATCACTTACATTTTATTTTTTAAAAAAGTTACCATCTTATTTGCTCAAGTCACTTTAGATCATTGTTGAAGGGCCTGCAACTTCACTTGCCTATTTTATCAAATAGGTTTTTCTATGTCAGACTTCTTGCAGTGTTTTAGCCAGGATTAATAAACACAGACTTGAAAGACAATGTGGTCAATGAGTACCATACAGATTTTGCAAAAGCCATCTTTGAACTACTATGGAGCCCAAATTATGTCTTTGTGGAAGGCTGACATATCTTCTTGTCCTTGCTGCTGTTTCAGAGCCTTGGAGATTCAACCATGGCCATTGTGCTAAATCAGCTGCTACCTATGATTAAGTCCCCAAGCCAGAGAACCAGTGATGACTACAACCCTGAGGAACTGCTAATCCTCCTCATCTACATTTACTCTGTCACTGGAGAGTTCACACTGGACAAAGACATGAGAGAAGCAGAAGAAAGGGTGAAGACAGCATTGGCTCATGTCTTTTCTGAGGAGTCGGAGTTGTCCCCTTTGCTACAGAAAATCACAGGTGAGTGTAGAGCACCGTTACAGAACACAAATCCTGGGAACACAGAAGCCAGGGTTCTGAGGAAAGACTGGTACAGAAGGAGGGACCACCTCCAGCCACCTTCAGGGTCAGCCTGTCTTTCCATGGTTTCCTTTTCTAGTAGTGGTAGTGGAATGGTCTGCTAAGAGCTTATCAGAATTCATGTTTGTTGGTGTCAAAGCCTTGGCCAAACAGAAAAATACTCAGAGAAAATTTGGTTTGTAAGGTGCTGCACAATGTCTTGGGATTAGAAATTGACATTTTCAGGAGTTGAGTATTATTTTGAGACTGCTACACTTCATTTGGATTTTAATTAATTAGTACTATCCCAAATGATACCCTTGCCTCCCAGTAAAGTAGGCTGTGGTAGTTGGACGAGAATCTACAATTATCAGAGACTCTAATGATTCACCTCCAGTAAGAGTTGCGCTATTACTCATGAAGGCATCCACATGTAGTGTGTTTACCCTTTCAGTGGTTTATATTTGTGTAAAGCTAATTTCAGTGGTATAAGTCATGCCTAGAAGTTATTGAAGCCTATACATAATGCATGAATACTTTTAAAGCAGTTCAAGTTTCCTTTCACTAATTTGCACGTGTGTAGGTATGTGTTTATGTGTTTGTAGACATCCCTTCTCATATAAGCTCAAGTGAGGCAGATTATACATACTCTAGACCCCTGTGGGCCTCGTTGGGGGAAGTATGGAGACATCTCTGATCCAGGCCATGGTGCTGGAGATCTTAGTGTCCTGTGCATGTAGGTTTCATTTTGTGCCCACTTCTGACCTTTCCTGTGGCTGGTTATGGAGTGCAAAACCCTGATGAGATGGAAACTTTACTCAGTTTCCACAGACGGGAAGCATTTCCTTGCCTAGCATGGAACCTGCTTGCCAGTTTATAATTCTGCTTAAGTAGAACGTGTGGAATTTGTTGCCATTTAGTTAAGTACAACACTATCTGCCATTACATGTGTTTGTTTGGCTGGAAATAAATATTGACTTAGAATGGTTTAATATGGTTTATACAATGCTTAGAACAGAGCTTTGATTTAAAGTAAATTTGGATTCTAGGAGAATTTCATTGGAAATTATGCTTAAATGAGCAATTCCCGAGACAGACAGCAAAGCTAGTGTGCGTGTTCTAATTACAGTTGTTTGGGTAGGCTTTATAGCGTTTGTATGTTGACAGTTTATTGTTGGAACTGAAGTAATGCTCTAGGAATATTCTCTAATATTAACTGAAGGTGTTCACTGACCCTGCAGTTCATTTCTTATTAATTTCTTTACACTTGCTCAGGATACTGCATTTTCTTGCTTTGAAAACAATGTATGTGAATTCATATTTGCATAGGGAAAAGTTGCTAGCTCATAAGTTAATATTTATTTATTTATTAATTATGTATACAGCATTCTGTCTCCATGTATGCCTGCACACCAGAAGAGGGCACCATTATAAATGGTTGTGAGCCACCATGTGGTTGTTGGGACTTGAACTCAGTGCTCTTAACCTCTGAGCCATCTCTCCACCCCTCTTAGCTCATAATTTAAAAATTAAAAAATAATAAGTTGTAGAATTTTTAAAGTTATGCTTATACCTTTATTTTATAATATTGGGCATACATTTTTACCAATATTAACTTTGGATATCTAGTGTAAGTAGTCCAGAAGTGTTACTTTGGCATATGTGAACTAGTCACTGGAAAACATACACACAAGTGCACACACACATTCACTCTCTTAGCCTCTGTGTGTACCCAAAGGACTAATAAATTAGTTGTTGATTAGTTTGAACATATCTTTATGTTCATTTTTATGACAATATTAGTTATAGCCATAGAAATCTATTAGTGCCTGGCTTTCAGAAGTAAGAGTAATAGACTTTAATTCTGCTTATTTCAACAATATCTCTTGACAGTAATTGCTCAGATTTAAAATTCATATTTTTATCTATTCATTATGTTAATTACTTTTTTGACAGTTTCTTTCATGTCTCTGTATTCTTTGTATAGGAAGGATAATAAAAACTATGATTGGTAAAACAAAACAAGAGCCCACATTTTGGTCAATGGCAGCATGCTATTTTCTTTGTAATCTGCACTCTTTTAAATAGATACTTCCAGGGACATTTTGAGAGTGGTGGGCAACTCTTTTCTATTTATGCAAAATAATCTAGGATTGGCTTTTGGGTGTTGGGTATAGGAAGCTGGAAGGAGAAAACTGGCCTGGCCCACTTATATTGGTTGGTGTTATTCTTCCTCAGTCCTGCTAAGTTCAAAGAGAATATGAGTTTCTGTATACTTCAGTGTTTGCCTGCCAGCCACAAGAAAAATAAAGCCATTTGAACTGTTTTCAGAGAATGAAATTTAATGCACATTTGAAGTGTATGCTTGGAATGTTGTCCCACAGAGAGGTGTACTGGAAAAAGCAGGTCTGAATGCAGAAATCTAGGATTTAAAAATTCTGACCCTGCCATTTCCTAGGCTGATATCAAGGCCTTAAGCCTTTATGGATCATGTGTGATTTTGCTGAGCATAAAATGATGTTCTGTATGGGAACGACTTTTGGGTCATATAGAGTTGAGCTCCTCAAATCTTTACAACTGATGCATGTAGGCAGAGAGGTGCTGCTCTGGTGTCTTATAAAACAGCATTTGAGCAGGAATCAGCTAAAAAATACCTGAAACAAATGCCAGGCATGGTGACACAGGCCTGTGATCCCAGTACTCAGTGGCCTGAGGCAGGAGGATCATGAATTCAAGGCTAACCTGAGCTACATGGCAAGTTCCAGGAATAGGTTATATAATGAGATCCAATCTCAAAAGGAAAAGAAAGGGGAAGAGGAAGAACAAAGAACTAAAGCTTCTTGTCAATTAGCTAAAATAATTGTGATTGTCATGTAATTATTTATAACTCTTTGAATATAAGCTTTTGAAGAGCAGGGATTGTCATTTGGGTGAATGCATCTCCACTCTGTGTACTTTCCTTAAGAAGATTATAATTAGACTTTCTTGAATACATAAGTGATACTCATTTTATTTCCTAATTATTGCAATAGAACTTAAAAATCACTTGTAAAGTCACTTTCCAGAGAAAGCATCCTAAGATTTTGATAAGTACTGGTGCATAATCAATCAGTAAATAGATATGTGATAAATGCCAGGTGACAAATATCAGACAGTATTTTGTTTTATATGTTTTTGGAGTTGGTCTGTTGTAGTCATAGTGCCTTGGATAAAATCACAGGTATATAGCATGATAAATATATTAAAAAGTGATGTTGTGAAGGAAGATCTTGAGAATATTGGTGTCTTAATATTTATTGAGAGTGAAGAAAAACATTGAGGTACAAATATTTCAGCCTAAAATTGTGGCAAAGATGGATGGATGATAGAGACAGGTAGATGGGTAGATGATAGCTAGATAGAGGCAAAGATGAATGGATGGATGGATGGGTAGATGATGGATGTGTGGGTGGATGATAAGAGATGCAATAGACTCTAGGCTGAGACTTCTTGGATAATGGGAGAAGGAAAGACTAACATGTTGGACACTGAAAGGGACAAGTATGTGTGCAAGGACTTGTGTTTTGAAACGTAACTATAATTGTAAATGTAATTCTCATAAAGGCTGACTGTCTTCATGTGTTGCCTGGTTACTCTGTTGTTCGCACCTGGACTGAATTGGTCCCAAGCAGGTTGGTGATTTTCACTGAAGCATGTATAAAATAGCCTCCTCCTTTTTCTTATTCTTTTCATTTTTTAAAAAGCAAAACACATGCCTGCATCTCTTCTTCAGGCTCTTGATTTGTTGCCAAGCTGACAGAGAGCCAGCTGGAACAGAAAACTGATATGGTGCAGTGCTCATTAGCAATTTACATTTTTTAATACAACAAGAGTTAGTGTGCTAGGTTTTAGAAGCTGTGACCTTATCCAAACCATTCACTAAAATGAGTGGACTCTTTATTTCTTTATCTGTGTCATGCTGGTGGAGATAAATAACTTAATCCGGACAGTCTTTTCACATAGTGGTGTAGGATATCAACACCATGCAAGGAATCCAGTCACTGGCCAAGAAAGGGTTCTTCCTAATTAAATGTGTTTGGATACTTTTCTAGCTGGTAGTGCACACCACCCCCCCCCCCCCCACTTTTTTTTCTTGTGAGTTTGGAAACCAAACACTGGAATAACTATAGTTACAGCTGCTAGTGTTCCTTCACCTGCGTTTTGTAGGAAGTGAAGCAGCACACTTGCACACTTATTCATATTTAATACATGCAGAGTACTTCTCATTGTGTTCCCAGAAACTGGTTTCCATATAGTATGTCATTGTGTTTTTATTAATCTGCAAACTTTGGTCTCTGTCACTCTTTCCTGTTCCTCATCTCACACCTCTCAGAGAAGTCAGAAAGCAAGCACGGAGCACCTCGGTGACGGGGTGCTTAAGGAGTTAGCACACTTCTGATTATTTCTGCTTTTTCTCCTAGGGGATAGGAATCCAGACAAGAATGACATCATCTGTCTCTTTAGAAACAGGAATTTGTAATGGCTTTTGACTAGGGGTGATTATAGCATTTCAGAGGAGCAGCCCTGCTAGGTACAGGCTGGAGGTGTGGGAGCTGTTATGGGTCTGGGAAGCCATCCTTAGGCTCCAGCAGAACAAAAGCCAGCTGGGGTGTGTGTGCTGGAGGTTTGTGGATGGTGCACATGAAAGAGAAAATAGCATTTGCTATTCTTATTGTTATTATCTTGGCAGTTCCTGCTTGAGCCAAATCATGCCTAAATTTCTTTTAAACACATATTTAACATGTGAAGAAAAATCAGGGTAATAGTTATGAGGAAAAAGTATCTGCATTTCCCCTGTGTTTGCCTCTCCCAGTGTGGGGATTAAGCGAGGGGCCTTGATTGAGCTAGGCCACATTCCAGTGCTGAGCTATACACCAAGCACCATATTTTGGGTTTTTGTTCAGCTCTTATTTTTCTGCTTG